GATTAGAGCTTGCTCAAACTCTGTTAATGTCTTAGCAGATATCGTAAGATTGGTGTCATCGGCAAGCATTCTTGGTGCGGCGCCCTGCAGGGATTTGGGAAGATCATTAATGGATATTAAAAATAGCAAAGGACCCAATATGCTAGCTTGCGGCACGCCGCAACTGAGGTTACGGGCAGATGATAATTTGCCACCGACACTACATCTCTGAGTTCGGCCACTCAAATACGACGAGAACCACTTAATAGCTGCCAGATCGACACCCAAGTATGACATCTTGCGCAAGATTATTTCATGATCAATGGTGTCGAATGCCTTAGTAAGGTCAATAAAGACAACGCCGTTTAAGAGACCGTTGTCGATATTTACCGACCAAGAATTTGTTGCCTCAAGCAAAGCCGTAAGCGTACTATGTAGAGAACGGAACCCTGATTGGCAACCCAATAGCAATTTGTTATCATCTAGATGACGAAAACGTTGATCGTAAACAATTCTTTCAAAAACTTTGGAAATTATAGGGATTACAGATATTGGTCTATAGTTGTTAGGATCCGATTTAATACTCTTTTTGAAAAGAGGAGTCACTTTGGCCGTTTTCCAATCATTTGGATATATCCCCGTGAGGATAGACTTAGAGAAGACTGAGGTGAGAAAAGGTGCGATGATATAAGCAGCCATTTTCAACAATTTACTCGGAATCATATCAAGACCAGTAGCTTTCTTTTCGTCAATTTTCGACAAAATGTTAGACACAATATCAACGCTCGGAATTTGTAAAGAAAACGAAAGAGTAGAGTGTTCTAAATAAGACTCAGGATCAATATCAACGACAGGAATATCTTGCGCTAGTACTTGCGCAACGTTTGTAAAGTGATCATTAATAGTTTCCGAAAGGTCTATAGGATTACTTACTATTTTATTATTTACCTAAATCTCCAGAATATTCGTCGACTTACTACTGTTACGTGAAGTTAGCTCGTTGATCACAAGCCACGTTTTGCGCAAATTACCTTTATTGGCTACCATTTGGAAGGAATGCATATTTATGTTAGGAATCCTCAGGCAAACTACGTTTAAAGGCCTAACGCTCAACCAGTGTGCTTTGCGAGCAATTGCTATCGTTGTTATTCAGGAACTCGACACTTTTGCTCACAAACCGAACGGTAACGGCAACGAATACCACATTGGCAGTACCTTTGGCCGATATTTTTAGGACAAAAAAAATAGAAAAAGTGTATTATCACTCAGAGCACAACTAAATCGCCACTTCAGAAGAAGTATATTGACGATTCTGTGGAACAGAACCCAAGACAAAGTTGGAGAGTTTGTAAGAGGGGCAAACTGTCGAGGTCAGAGATTACTATTCTCTTCATTCTGTGCATTGCATCACGATACAATATCATGACTACCAGAATCAGAAATCATGTTCTTGGACATAAAAGGGTACGAAAGCGAGAGGTTTAACAGGGAATCGACTATTGACGTCCAAACGCATTACAAGGAGACGAAGACCTTCAAAGCATTGAATTTTTGTCATTCACGAGGCGTAAAGAGATGATTGTAAAAGGAGAAGCGCTACGCCTTCTATGCATAAGTTTGCAGCGCTCAATGTTAAATAAAATCTTACAGTGTTTCAAAACATGCTTAATGAAGAGGCTAACAAGGTAAAATTTAGGAGAAATGTATCTCTAAATTTGATCTCACCGGGAGTGAAGTTTCACCCAAAAACTTACCACCCAGAACACGTCACCTAAGTGTCGAGAGGAGATTTCCATCCAAGTTTACTCCGAAATGCTGTGCAGCAGGGCTTCTGCAGACTCGCTACTCGTTTTCTTGCCAAATCCCAAAGCTGTCTTTCGCTATTGCCATGCGTTTACCATGCTTGTCGTGCAGGACGACCGTTTTGGTATGGCATCATTATCGCGAACGCGGAATGAAACGAAAAAATACTTAGAAAATAGACGATAGACATTTGAAGAAACTAGACAAGGGTTTAAAAAGTTGGCTTTCGATCAAGATCGCAATGATTTAGGCGAATTCTGTTATGAACAGTAAGCTTCCCTTTCCTGTATTATAAGCTATCCTGGGTGAGGCCAGTGCGCCTGCGCTGAATACTAGTTGAACGTGGCCCCAGCCCACCGACAGATATATTAAACACGAAGGCGCGCTATATAA